CCAGGGCGTTGCGCCTTATGCATTGTGGCATCCTGAGTTCACCATTCTTCCGGGGTACGATCATGCGCAAATGGGCAGCTGCAAGCAAACATGCAGCAGTTGCACCAGGTCAAGTAGTGCAGCCGGCATCCGAGGTTGCGCCCCGCGTTCAGCCGCGGGCAGCGCGGCGTCAGCGCCCCAGGCGCTCACCGAGCCGGGACCGCAGCAGCTGCCGCCGCAGCAGCTGTCGGACGCCGGGCACTGGACGCCGGCTGCGAGGGTGCGGCGCGATGCGGGCGCGGTCGGCAGCGTCGGCGCAGAGCGCATCGGGCCCGGTTGTTGCAAGTGCGCGTTCCGCCAATTCGCTGCTGCAGGCATGCGACAGCCCCGCGGAAGCCGGGCAGAAGCTGCTCCATACGGGCGGCGTAACACCAGTGGCCGCAGAGGCAGAGCGGCGAGCCGGTCTCATATGCTGCTGCAGCTCCTCGGGAGATCCCCGTGCCTCCCCCCGCCATGCAAACCCCCCACCACCATCAATCCACTCACATGTGCACATCTGCATGCCCGGAGGCACGCACTGGCCGCGCTGGCACTGGTTTTCGGGCGGGCAGCAGCGGCCGCCGCAGCCCACGCTGGCGGCGGGGCAGCAGACAGACCCCTGGCAGGTCGTCCCCGGCGGGCCTGGCACCAGGGGAAAATCGCATGCGACGTCCGGGTTTAGGGGTGCCGGGTGGTGACCCGGGCGCTCGCGGGGCGCAGCACGGGAAGCAAGCGGCAAGGCAACCCCGGCGTATGTTGAGGCGTGTGCTTGCTGCAGCCGCCCCCGCCCAGCTCACTGCATACCCCTTCAGACCTGCTGGCAACCCGCTCCCATTCAGATTTCCTCCCCCCCCTGTACAGCTCCCACAATGGTTGCATGCGACTGAAGTTCCGCTACCTTCCCCCTCCCGCTCGCCGCGCTCTCACAGATGGTGCCGGCGCATTCGGATGACCCCTGTTGGACGCACTGGTTTCTCAGGCATATGGACGCGCCGTCGCAGCACCGGCCCCCGCACAGCTGGGCGCCAGGGCCGCAGCAGATGTTGTTCGCGATGCACATGTCGCCAGGGTTGCAGACCGTGCCGCCGCACCTGCGTTTGTTTTTTATGTGGGTCGTGTGTGCGTGTGTATGTGTGCGTGTGTGTGCGCACACGTATGCACGCGTGGTTGGGTCTGCGCACGCGTATGTTATAATGCATCGTTGGCGACTGCTCAAGCAATTGAACAAACTTGCTATCCGCGCAACAATCATGGCCACATCCTGCACTCACTCGATGGACCCCTGCCCGTAGCACTGCCCACGGATGCACTGCTGGCCGGCTCCGCAGCACTGGCTCCCGCCGCAGCACGTCTCGCCGGCACGACAGCAGCCAGTGCCGCACCTGCAAGACATTGTGGGTTTGGCCGCAAAACATGTGTGGAGGGAGGTGCGCTGACGTGCATGTGGGTGAATGTATGGGTTATCGCACATATGTGTGTGTGTGTGTGTGTGTGTGTTGCTGTGTGTGTGTGTGTGTGTGTGTGTGTGTGTGTGTGTGTGTGTGTGCGTGTGCGTTCGTGCGCGCGCACGCGCGCGCACGTGCGCGCTCACGCAGGTAATTGCTTGTAAAATAATTGCCCCAGTGTCGTCTGCTGCCCGTCCATCCCCCCGCCAACCCCCTCCACGTACTGCTGTACATCCACGCTTGTGCCGCGCCCACACCCACGTGTTGGACAACTTGCAGCAGCGGTTGTTCTCAAAGCAGCTCTCGTCCTGCGTGCAGCACGCCTGCTCTGACGACGTCCCGCACTGCGAGAGCGAGAGCGTGGCAAGCACGAGCAGCGCCTTCACCATCCACTCTTTCGAGCGCATCAGGGCCCCCAGCGCCCTGCCATGCCAGCACATCCATGCGTGCCCGCACCCGCGCCGACCGCGCCCCTGGGCTAGTCGAGGCCGGTGGTGCGGCGCCCTCGCATCACAGGGTGGGGACTCAACCGCAATGATAGCAGCACCCCGCGCACCAGCTTGCTGGAGTCACATGTGGCCAGCCATGAAAAGGTGCGGCTGTCCTTGCAGCTGCCGGAGAAGCAGCGCGTGCCGGTGGGGCAGCAGAAGGCGCCTGAGTATGTGTTTTGGCACATGGCCTCTGGCGGGCAGCAGCCGCCCATCTGGGTCTTGATCACGCCGCCTGGGGACGGGCGGTGCCGCGGGCGTGCGCGGCGATGTTGATTGATTCGCACGGCGGTGGCTGCGGCCACCCGGGCTAACAGCTACAAAAACCGGCCAGCTCGCCCCGCCTACCCTCCCTGTGCCCTTGCAACCCCGGCGGGCTGGAAATGAGGCAGCGCACGGCTATGTTCATAGGATTCGCGTGGGCAAGGGTACTACATCCCGCACCCCCTTGTGCTCACCCCTGGCGCAGCACCTCTGGGTGATCGGGTCACACTCGCCCTCTGTACAGCACTGGTTCCCGCACGCAAACTCCCTGTTGCAGCAGCCGTCCGCGGTGTATGACTGCCCCGCCGCGCAGCAGCCGCCGCCGCCGGCCTGGCTCAGCGGGCAGCAGGTGCCGCCCACGCAGGAGAAGCCGTCTGGGCAGCAGGTGGAGCCGCAGATCCTGGCGGCTGGGCAGCAGTCCCCCGCAAAGCACGTCTCCCAGCTCTGCTCACAAACCAAGGGGGGTTGATGGAGTTTAGGCCTCAAAAGATCAGGGCTTGAGAGAAATCTGGTGGAAAATTACTTGCACGTGCTCGGTTGTCCTCATAGAGTGCCGCGCACACGCTTGCGTGCAAAAGATGAGTTTTGGCCCGGTACCGCAGAGTCAGGCGGGCAGCTGCTTTGAACCCCACCTGGCAGCAAGATATGCCGCAGCGCGTGCCTTCACAGGCTGCAAGGGGGCGTCCGTAACGGGCGTGGGCAGTTTTAGGGGTTTGCAAAGCTCGGGCCGGACCCTGCGGGCGAGCGTGGTGCCGCGGAAGCCTTCGCCATGGCGCGGCATCCGCTTGGCGGCCCGTGGACAAAAAGCGTGGCCAGCTGCGGCGCTTTGCAGCCGCCAGCAGGCGTCATGCCTCCTGCGGTCTCCCTGGCGCCATGAAGCAGCGGTACAGTGTTGCTTTAATGGCGAGATGTTGCTGTGTGCAATCGCATGATTCCAGCCACACACCGTCCTGGCTGGGGTCGTGGTCGTGCAGGCGCCGTGCCGACGCCGGCTGCGACCCATGAACAAGCAGCAGGCCGTCTGAAGAGGTGGCATGACGGCCGGCCCCGCTTGGCCCCGCTGCAGCGTGGACATCTGTGGACAACGGGGGTCTGCGCGCGCACGGAGGGCGGGCGGCCATGCATCGGGCCCGCCTTGCTCGTGTATTTTCTGCTGGCGCGTGCACATGTGCATGCGTGCGTGCGCGCACACACACAGACACACACACAGACACACACACACAGACACACACACAGACACACACACACACAGACATACTTTACACACACAACTACACACACTTACACAAATACACACACTCACACATTCACACTGACACACTCACACATACAGACACACACCCCTATGCACCCACACATAGCTGCTCAAGGCAAATTCCATCTAGTGTATGTTGCATTTGCATGCAGTCCTAAGCTGTACATGCGCGCTGCCAAGCGTAGCTTTGAAGGCATTTCGAACGCACCTTTGCGCCAGCTGCATGACAGTCAGCAGCAGCACTGCCGCCAGCGATGCACAGGCCGCCGCCGCCCCGCATGCCTTTTGCCAAGTGCGCCGCCGCTCGTTTGCCTCTGGCGTCAGCAGCGGCGATCTGCTGGAGCGGCCGGTGTCCATACGCTCTGATGAGCGTGATCCGCTGCGCTGCAGTACTTGCGTGCTTCGCTGCCGTGCCATCGATGCCGTCGGTGCTCGCCCTATGGCTGTGCGTGGCCGCAGAAGGCCCACGCCGTTGTCGTGAATATCTTCGGAGGTTCCCACGTCTCCACCATCTTTGTGAGACATGCTGCCACCGGGGCCAGGGCTGCCGCGGTTGACGGTCAAATTTGTGCCCTTTCTTGTGCTAGTGTCGACGTGATCGCTTCACAAATCGTTTAAAACCTTTCAGGCAGTTCGCCCGGCTGGCACCCTGATATCGCCCCGTTGAGTCACTCGGGAAGGCCGCGGGCGGGAATGACTGATCCACCAGCCGTGGATCCGCTGACAAGCTCTACAATCTCGTAGCAGCAGTGGTACAAGTGAGACACCGGGCATTTCACATTTCAACGGTGCGCTCAAACATACTGTTTTGCCACGTGCACACTGCCGCGAGCGCCCTTGTGATCAACTGCAGAGAACTGCTCACATGGCCAGGCCGATGCTGCATCACTCCCACGAACTCAAGCTTGCCAAAGTGGGTCCTGCACAACACTCAGGCCACGCTCTTTACAGACATGATTGGTCTGATGCGCGAAACCCCTGATCTGTCAGATCGCAGGCCTGATTCCACGAGCCGCGTCGGCGGGGCACCGTCAACAGCAGCAAGCACTGAAGTTGCACGCAATGTCATGTGTAGTAGTTCTGTATTTTGGCAGCGCCGCGAATCAAACAAGGCGCCAGCACACAGAAAGTTCTTCTTGACCCGTCGGCAGCGCGCGCGCCGATTTGGCGGGAGACGCGTGCGTGCTGCCAAGTGAGCCAGGAGGCGACATTCGGGCCGTGGCGCCGCCCCAAGGACCTTGCTCCGCCTCTTGTCTCCCCTCTGCTTCCAGTGCTGCAACGTAAGAAGTTCAAGGGCCCACCACACCACAAAGACGCGCGGCCCCATAGCTGCGTCCGCGCCTGTCGCACGCGACCCGCTCTGCACGGCAACCCGCGCCAGCGGGCGACCACCTACGGCCAGCCGCGGCCGCGTTGCCCCGCCCGCCAGTGCGGAGCCCTGAACCCGCCAGCCCGCTCGAGACACCGCGCCGCCTGCCACAAGTGGATGCCCCCCGTCGCCGACAGCGTCACTGTGCGTCATCAGGGCCTCTAGAGGTCCACGTTTACGATCTGCCCGTCCTTGTTGAACTCCGCCGTGTCGTACGAGGTTGTCGGGTCGTATTTCAGATCGCCGTACGTGTCAAACGCGATGGGGCCAGACTTGCCCTGTGAAAAGGAGTCACAAGCCGCACGTGCTCGTTTCAGAGTTGCCGCGTGCACGTCACAGGCCAGGGGTACGGCAGCCGTACGAACGCGATCGCGTGAGAAGCCCGCACGCTTCGGAGCAGCGACGATGGCGGCTCGCAGCAAAGGCTGTGCCCTGCAGCATGTGAGTTGCCCTCCCTGCCCCTGCAGCTAATGCTGCCCACAGCCCATGATCCAACCCAGCCTTACCCCTCAGGAGGCCACGTAATCCAATCTGCAGCAATCCTTTACAACCCCATCCGCACCAAACCCCGTGAGGACCCCAACCCCCCCCCCCCCCCCCCCC